CCCCCCCCCCCCCCAAATATTTTTCTGTGTGATTCTGTATAGAAGCCACTGAAGCTAAGGATATTCTTCAAGTCATGTTATTAAAATCTTTATCCAAACCAGAAGAATATTAACAGTAACAAAAATGCTTTAAAAGGTAGATTACACTGGGAGTCCCAAAAGACGAAATCTATTATCCATTCTTTGTGACAGTACTAAAAGTGGGAGACCAGGCTAACGCAGGGATTTGTGCCCGCCTTAAACTGCTGAGAACTGTCTTGTATCTCAGCAGTCCCTTGTTGGCTCTCCCCTCCCCAGAGCAGGGAGGGCAGGGGATCCTCTGGCCCCAGTCGTTCCTGTGGGAGGGGAAGGAGGAGTAGCAGTAGCCATTGCACTCTGTGGGATGCAGCTGGAACAACCAGTGCTTCCTGTTTGTGCTGCAGGGTTTGCTGTGAGGCACACGGGGCTTGGGGTGTGCAAATAGGGGGGTGGTATAGGACTTGAAAAAGAATGACAATTGATGTTCTTTAATTTGCAATACAATAATTTATGTTAATGATTTTCATTGAGTCCTAAGAGTTGTTTGGCCGCATGTTTAGGCTGAGAAAGAAATGCATGCCTAAAGAACTGTTGTTTGGTTACAGCCTTTTTGAGGTCTGTTAGAAAGCGGGGTGGTTCCTTGAGGCTTACTGATGCTGTCTGCTAGCTGACAGTCTCTCTTCTGTTCCCAGTAGGTCTTTCAGAGCTTTCATCCTCCTGTCTTTGCTGACCAAACATTCAGTTTCAATATAGCAGAAAGAGGTGATTGTTAGGGAAGGTGTTGCAGCTCCCTGGGTGTCACAGCAGCAGTCTGAGTCGGCTCTGACATACTCGCTGCCAGTTCTTCTCTTGAACACACCTCATCTGTGTGTAGCCAGCACTGTGCTGTGCTCAGCTGTGCCTTCTGTGACCAGCTTCTGTGAAGTGGATACAAGAGCTATGTGCTTTGTTTCAGTCTTCAATGCTTTACTGACTTGTTTTCAATCCTAACTTTAAATGAAAGCTGAAGATGCTTAGACTCCTGTAGAAAGGCCTGACTGCCAGGGAATTGTCATTGTCCTGATTTATTCTTTAGTCCTTGAAAATGTTCCCTAAAGTGATAGTAATGATAGCTCTGATATTTTTTTTTTGCCCCTCCCCAGATATGAAGGGCAGTTACTGTAAGCTTTCTTTTTCTTCCTAGTGACTGAAAAGCAACTTGCTGAAAAGATTAAAAACCTTCTGCAAGAAAAAACAGAAATCTTAGAAAAGATGTCAGAATATGATCAAAAGGTATTGTTCTAGGTTCTTGTCCTTTGCATCCTTATTTTGTTACTCATTTAATGACACAGTCAGTGCAACAGCTAATATATTTTTATTTTCTATTCTTACTGAATATTATGTTGAGAATTTCCTCAGTTGTTTGATTGTTTCTGTGTTTAGATAAAGGAAGCAAAAGAATCTGTGAAAGTGGCTCAAGAGCAAAAAGACATTCTCTCTGATGAAACTGCAGGGCTTAAGGTAAACAAGCAGTTAACTGTCTGCGCTGAAAGCAAAAGCATCAGTAAATTAATGTGCTTTAGTTGGTCTTTTACTCTCTTTTTAGGACACTGTCAAAGGACTGGAAGAAGCAAATCGTCAGCTAGATGACAAAGTAAAAAATCTGCACACAATGCTTGAAACAGAGAGAAAAAAGAATGACAAGAAACAGAACAAGGTGAGAGCAATCGCATTCATGTCTCATACTGTCCTTAGCTTAATGTGGCCTAAAAGGTGGTCACAACCTGATGGGTAAACAGATTGAGGTAGAGCAGGCAAGATGAACCGCCTCAAAAAGAGAAGTGTTAATTTCGGACTCATCCTAAGCTCAAGGGGGAGAATCTGACCTGTTTTTTTTGTTGTTATTGTTGTTGTTAGGTTTTGTGTGTGTTGTTTTTTCTTGTTTTTTTTTCTTTTGTAAGATCTTGATGGACTTTGTGTGTTTATGTGCTTTCACACATAACCGGTTGCATTCAAGTCATGGGCTAGTCTAATACTTCCTAGCCAGAGTCAGGAAGTGCCTTAACAGTATGAACTGAAAGTTTCAGATTGGTAAGAGCCATTTTCTAGTTCTGTAGTAAGTGTGAAGATCTCTAAGCTGCCCCTCATTCTTGTTGTCCAAAGGTATTTATTTATGTTTACTTTTTTCCCTTTTTTTTCCTTCTTTTTAAAGCCTGGTTTTCTGTAGTAATGGTAAGCTCCAACAAGTTCTTTGATCTTGTTTTGATCAAAGGTTGTTGCTAATGACAGCAGCACGTGTTACTTTCATTCTAGACTGTGCAGGTGTACAGGGAACTTCCCAGCCACAAACAGGTGTGGAGTCATGGGGGAAGTTGTTTGTAATGTGCTGTATGTTTTTATTCCTTACCTTGCTGATAAGGCAGTGCTGTGCTGCTGCTAGTCTAATGGCTTCTTTAAATGGAAATTTGTTGGTGTTTTGACTTTCCATGTATGCTTCCAAATTACACAGGTAAAATAATTACTCACGTTAAGGTATATTCCAGGCTAATACAGTCACTGCTCATCTTTTTCTTCTATAGATCTCTGAAACCCAGAAGTCCTTGGAGAAACTTCAGGAGGCTATCAGTGTGCATTCTGTAGAGCTTTCAGAGGTAAAGCATTATCTACACCTTCTTCACAGTCACAAGTTCTTGTATCAGGAAAATTAATATCTAAGATATGTTAGAAAATGCTGACTTGGCAGATTCCAGGTTGTTTGTGCATGTATACCTTTTTCTTTTCCATTTTACTGGGGAATATGTAGCTTTTCCTCCATCATAGTTTGACTTCATGTCTTTTTTTTCCTTTGTGTTTCATACATAGGTGCAGATAGCCCTTAATGAAGCTAAACTAAATGAAGAAAAGGTGAAATCTGAGCTTCATCATGTGCAGGAAGAGAATGCTAGGCTGAAAAAGAGCAAGGAGCAAGTAAGTTACACCCAAGCCAGGCATCTTTTCCTTTCTATTTTGCGTGAAATATTAGGGCTTTATTCCTAGTTTTCTTGAGTATAACTTCATCACGTCTTCATTTTCTTAATATGTCAGAATTCCATATTTGATACTGTCAGGATAAAACTTAAACCCGTTGTACTTGCCTGCACAGGTTTTTTGTGCAGGTCAGCCACATGTCTTCAGTATGAAGACTTTGCTGGTTCCAGTGATTCAGTTTTTGTCATCAGCTTCACAGAAAGTCTGTGCTGATGTGGTGGTCGCTGCACGATCGGGAGACTGCTAATTGGGATCAGGGCTGAAGGAAGTTGTGGTAAAGAATTGCCAAAAAGCAATTCTGAAACTAAGCTAAACGGGGAAGACCTTTAGCCCTGAAAAGTCATGACAGTTCTTTTACAAATAATTGTAAATATCTGTTTGTTTCTTTTCTCCACATATAAAGTAGATGGTCTTTTAAGGAATGTAGTTTGGTTACATCTGGACTGCAATTAATTCCTACTGTTTTTGAAGTGTGCGACCAGTTTGGTTCTGATGTTGGGATATTAGCTGAGAAAATGCCAAATTTGTAAAATCGCTTAATAATATAAACTGCAAAAAGATTCCCAGCATCCAGTCCTATCAATGGACTGGTGATGAATGTGATAACCATGAAGTTTACCCTTTATCTGTGACCCGTGGTGATTAGTTATCACTAGTGCTGTCAGTAAAACAGACTTTAATTACATATACCCTGTACTAAAAATAAAACAAGTAATCATCTTGCCTTGGTGCTTCATACAGCTGCTAAAAGAAGCTGAAGGTTGGAGCGAGAGGCATACTGAGCTCAGTGAGCAGATCAAACTGTATCAGAAATCTCAGAAGGACATAGAAGAAGCACTTGCCTACAAGGAAAATGAAATTGAAGTAGGTTCTTTATAACAAGCTTCCTTTAAGTATTACAGACCATAAAATACTTTGAAATACTTTACTAAATGTGGAGCTACTCTTCTTCAGCAAACCTTTGATTTCATTACCAGGTTTTGACTAACTGCATTATGCAGCTGAAGCAGCTTGACATGGATTCATCAGCTGAGGCCAAGAAGGATGGCGAAGGGCGTGAGTGGAGCACAGGAGACGATTTGGCCAATGGCGAGTTGCCAGGTACAGTAATCCTGGTGCTGGCTGATACACCCCGTGGCTACAGCGTATGTGGTGGTATGTTCCTGTCATATCTGGAACAAGGGCAATCCATGCGTGTGGGTTAAGAGATTGCCAGCTTTAATCCTTGAACACAAAGCATCTCCTAACTGAAGGGAGAAACTGTTAGAAAGGCCAATAATTGCTTTTAGATTACCTTTTAGGTATATCATAAGTGTAAAAACACAGTTTTAAAGACTGTATATGAATATTTGTAATTAAGAACATTCCAAAAGCAGAGAATCTCGTCTTTGTCGTTACGCTACATTTATTTTTAATACAAATTTTTACCGAGTACGGAGCTTACTTCCGGATAGATAACTAATTTAGGCAATCACATCTTTTAAATCTGAAAGACTGCAGTAGAAATTTTCAAAACTGCTCAGGCAGGTTGTCTTTCCTGATGGTGCAAATATATTTGCTACATCTCTGGTTCTGAAGTCTTTTTTTTCCACCCCCTCCTCTCCTTTTTTTCTAACCGTACAGTATATGTGGTCTGGAAATTACCACTACTTGATTTTTTTCAGATAATATGTCCAGTAACACATACTGCATTCACATTAAAATTAGTGTGGTGTCTAGAAGAAGTGACAAGAATGACAGGAAGGAATCTTCTGAATGCCTTTTGGAGTAAATCTAATAGTTCTATTGTGCTGGTCATGAAATTGCTATTGTGCTTTGTTCCCCAACTCCCCCTCTTTTTTTTTTTTTTTTTTTTTTTTTTTTTTTTTTTTTTTTTTTTTTTTTTTTTCTTCTTCTGTGTAACAAGACCTATCCCAGATTAAACTGTAGGGAGTAATTTTTAACAGCTGTAGAGTCCAGGGAATTGGGGTTAAGAAACAGGGAAAACAAATATATTTTTCTCTTCTAGATAATGAGAGTGAGAAGATGAAGACTCAGATTAAGCAGATGATGGATGTCTCCAGGGTATGCCACACAAGATATCTAATAAATGCAGCCACATTGCTGCTATGCCTAAAATCATAAACTTTCTGCTCCTCTTCTCAGGTAAAAACTATGTTATCCATAGTTGAAGAAGACAGAAATCTTCTGCAATCCAAACTGAGTGATGAAGTAACAGCAAGACATGAGCTGGAAGGTAGGCTTAGCAGTAGAATTGCTTAGGATGAAATGCTGTTGTGGTTTAAAAAGAAACAGAGCATTTAAGTGTCATAACGATTCTCACTGCAACTTCCTTCAACTCCCTCATGACCTCCCACACCTTTGCTTCTCCAACAGAGCAAATAAAAAAGTTAGAACACGACTCCTGTTCACTCCAGTCAGCCAAAGCTCGACTGGAAAATGAATGCAAAACCCTACAGCAGAAAGTGGAGATTCTTGGTGAACTTTACCAGCAGAAGGAGATGGCGCTCCAGAAGTAAGCCTTTTGTTACTTTTCCACAACATAGCACGTTGCTTCATAGGCACTGTCCAAATGCTCTTTGCTGAGAAGCGTCAGATAACTTGAAGTTGTATTTGGATTGAAAGGTGATGCCTGCTGGTTCAGTATGGTTGAAGCTAGTACCCCTTTTCTACTTTTTCCGCCATTCCGGAGTTTCTAAAAGACTGTCACTTTGCACTCAGAATAGTGTCGTCTACTATAAAACAAACAACTTTGGCAGAGATGAGATGGGTGGTTGGTCTGCAGATTCTGTGGTTGCTCTGTCATATTGTCCAGAAATGTCAAGGAGAATATAATGGCTATTAGCATTTGTTACTCTGACCTCAGCTCAGTGAGTCTAATTCTAAAAATGTAGAAACTTTGTATTTTAGCCTTGGGAGCCTTTTGCGTTCTCAAAGGGCTAAATTAAGGCTGAGTTTGTGGTGGCAGCTGAGATGAATGAATTGCTGGCAGTGAAGAACTAGTTGCGTATCTGTATTCATTCCTCTTTTATTCATTTAGTTACTTGCTGAAATGTTTGTAATACTGTCTCAATTTTGTGGGGAGAATTTGAGGTGGGATTCAGGGATGCTTTCAGTTACATTCTACGCGAAAGCTGAAATTGTGGTGGAGAAGCAGTTGAAAGTTCTAAGGTTAAGTATGTAGGTTGAGGGAAGCCCAGGGTTGGAACAAGCTAAGGAATTGAGGCCATACAGCACCTCAGTGGTAAAACTGCCTGACCTCATAACTTCAGGATCCAAGTGTAGTAAACACATCTTTCAAGGAAAACTTTCTCTTGACCTCTCTGACAGATTTCTATTCCTTCCAAAACTTTTAGGAAGTTACGCTGCCTGTTACTACTTCTTGATTACAGTGAAGGACTTCCTGCATTATTTTTTTTCCTGGAAAACTGTTTTGACATGTAGCAAATGAAATAGATTACACTGAACTGGCTATTAGCAATAGTTAACTTACTACTGGTTTAATGGTTACAGTTTTGTGGGACAGCCCTTGTAAATTAGGAACACATTATTAGGACCTTTGAAATACTTATGGGAAAATGTCAAAAATGAAAAAATCAGTGAACTATGAGGTTATAAAAAGACTGTGGGAATTGATCATGTAATAAATTGGTATTCAGAATACTCAGAAAAAAGCTCCTTTCCACGTGGTTGTTGACTATTGAATGTGTTTGTCACCCGGGCCCTTTTTCACTACACATTAATTTCTTCATTTCACTTGGTTAGATGTCAGTTTTACATATTTCCTTGTTTGTACCTTTGTAAATCTGGATTACCATCTGTAGAATTGGTAAGTAAACTAGAGGATCTGAAGAGATGGACTGTTTGCAACTGTTAGATTCTGGCAAATTGTTAGATGCTGATAGAGAGCTTTCCAGTCAACTCTGCATCCTTAATTTTCAGGTTTTACACGTAAAGGGTTTGTCTGTTGGTTTCAAAAGACAGTATTTCTATTTTTTTAAAAAAAAAAACCCTCTCTATTTTCTCTCTGTATTCTCACGCATTATTATGAATTCTGATACCACTGTTGTCAGCAGGTGTAGGATGGTGGAATATATGGTGCTTTTTTTTTTTTTTTTTCCCTATGCAGAAAACTAACCCAGGAAGAGTATGAGCGTCAGGAGAAGGAGCAGAAATTGTCTGCTGCAGATGAAAAAGCTGTACTGGCCATCGAGGAAGTGAAAGTTTACAAGTAACTTCATCTTCTGAAGACTGTTGTTTTCCTTTATTTCAGCTATTGAAGAAACCTCCTTTAAACTTCTCTCCTTCCCCTCTTTCTCCTTTTCTACAGGCAAAGGATCCAAGATATGGAAGAAGAATTGCAAAAAACAGAGAGATCTTACAAAAACCAGGTAAACTTCTTTCTTGCTGGTTATTGTGTCACCTTTTACTGCACCATTCCAATACTGTGTACTGAGTTATTGGAAATACTAGTAGTTGGACAAAATAAACTATAATAGTTCTTTTCTTCTCAGATTGCTGCTCATGAGAAAAAGGCACATGACAATTGGGTAAGACTCATCTTCCTTTTCTGATGCAAACTGTTCGCATTTGACTTCAGGTTGGTGCAGTTAATGCAGTTGGCAAAATTTTCCCTAATAGCTTATTGCCCGCTCTGCTGAGAGAGCTCTGGCTGAAGAAAAAAGAGAAGCAGCCAACCTGAGACAAAAGTAAGTACAGTACAGACCATTTCTATTGCTCTTTGAACATACTGTGTGTTGCTTGAGAGAGAATGAGCTCAAACTATGCAAGGTGCTGGGTTAGCCTGCTTGCTCAGGGGGTGTGGTGCATATCTGAGTTACAAACTTTAAACTACTGTTAAATTGTTCTGGTGGTTAAAATAAGATTTCTTGGTGAAAGCTGTAACATTTGACAATGCAGTTTGCCTTGTTACATTATAACAAATATAACTCACATGTATTATTTGAATACTAAACCCACCTTTATTTTTCTAAAATTAGATTGATAGAAGTAAACCAAAAAATTGTCATGCTTCAGAGACCATTAATTGTAAAGCCAACTCCAGGCAGACCTGATCGCCAAGTTCCACCGCGACGAGGTAAGTGCTGCTATTTCTCCCAAAACTCTGGTCTTTGAGTCGCTATATCCTAAATAAGGCTATAATAAATTGTAGAGAAGTCAGTCAAGTGTTTTTAATTCTTTGGCATAGGGCCCTTAAGCAGAGATGGCTCTTTTGGCCCATCACCTGTGAGTGGAGGAAATCCATCACCTACGCAGATGATAGAAGTTCCTGCTCGGCCCCTTTCTGCTCCTCGAAGGGAAGGCTCGAGAAGTGAATTTGGTAAGCAGTTAAACTTCTCTTCTGTGATAATTCTCTCTCGTGCTACTACCCCAAGAATGCTAAAGTCCGATCTTGGTTTGAGGGTTAATGTTGAGTATTTATACCTGCTTTATTAATAAATAGGTGAGTGGTGGTTTTGATTTTTTTTTTTTTTAATAGAAATAGCTCAGGTACGTATTGATAAGGATCTCTGGGGTTCTTGCTTCCCTTTAAGGTACAGTGGTAGATGGCCCCCCTGTTCCACGAAGGCCGCCAGAGTTACCTGGAAGGATGTCTGTTCCTGGTAAGTTGTATGGCCTACACCCAACTGCAGCTTACTCGGATATTCTTTCAGTTCAGAAATTCAGTTCAGTTCCTTACCCCAAGCATGGTAAGACATATGTTTGTGGCTCTTTTTACAGATCTTGGGCCTGCTGTAGCATCCCTGATCAGTAGTGGGCCAAGAACCACCTCCCCTTCCACAGCAATGGATGGAGTGGTAAGCTGAAAAACCCCAACCTTCAGGAACCGTTTCTAATACATGATTCACTGTTCTTCCTGCTGCTTCTTTAACTGTATCGTGTTCTGTCTTGTCTATATCCTGTCACTATCCTTACTTGCTGTCCAAAAAAAAAAAAAAAAAGCAACCCTCTCCCAAAGAGTCTGAAGCCCTCTGTGTAACTACTGATTCACCTTCATCTATTGAACCAGCTACAGTGAGTATTCTGAGGCTGAGTGTGGTGTTGCTCTGCTTTGATGGAGAGGAATAACAGGCTTGGTGTTCTGAACTGCTAAATGACAAAATGCTCTGCGAAACTAACCAAGGGCTTGTACCTCTGTCTCAAAAGGTTTCTCTAATGATGAACAGTTGCTGTCTGGTTTTTATGGAATTGAGGAAATGAGATCTTTCTTGTTAATGACTGCAGGCAAACACTTTGGAGTGACTACAGTAACCCTAAGAAGCTGACTTACTTGTGGTATTTAAGCACAATTCCATATGTAATTTAAAGTGGCCAGGCCCTTTACCAAAGGGCTGTCCACGGAGGACACTTAAGAAGGAATTGAACTTTTTTCTAGTACAGCTTTAGCTAAAGAAAACTTGTAATCTCAGAAGGCACACTAAGCACTCACTCCTAGGGTAGTGCAGGCAGGGTTCTGGGTGAAGAGACAACGGTGCTGCAGTAGCTTTCTCTATTTTCTAGTTGGTTAATGTGGCCTGGGGCATGTGGTGGTGTGTTTTCTCTCTTTTTTTTTTTTTTTTTTTTTTTTTTTTTTTTTTTTTATTCCCCTTCTCTTTCACCTCTTGGCTTTTGGGTGAGTGATTGTGGTGTTCAACAGTGCCAATGCTTGGGGTACAGTGAGTAACACTGAAGTATAATCCTGTGCAGGCTAATGCTAGTCCCAAAGGCCCGCCTTCTTTCCCGGGGACACCCATCATGACCTCCCCTGTGATGGGGCCGCCGCCTCCGCCGCCTGTTCGCTACGGACCGTCGCCAGCTCCTCTCCGTGGGCACTTCGGGCCTCGACCTCTTCCTGTGCCCCTAGGTACAGTTGCATTGCTGTTGACTGAAACTTAACTTTTTTTTTCCCCAATGTGCTTCTGGGGAGCCTGCTGTGGGACTGAGCTCTGCCATGCATTAGCACGTGGCTGCCCCACGCTTCATGGGGTTCAGCTGTCTCACTCAATAAGTTTGCACGGGTGGGTTTTTTCAAGGCTCCTTAATGCTGGGGTATTACGGAGGTATTTTTCCTTGTTTAGCCTAAAATGGAAACCAGCAGCCAAAAGTCACTAGGACATAATTCATAGCTTGTAAAATCTGCATGTGACAGTGACCCACCCCAGAGCTGCTCCAACGAAGGAAGAAATGAAGAACGAGTCAGGAACTTCACCATTTAGGCTAAAGCAAGATTCTGTTTAACTCCATGTTTTCTTCTCCTAGTTCGTGGTCCTCCCTTGCCACCTCCAGCTGCAAGAGATTTCTTACCTGGCCCACCCTTAGGAATGAGAGATCTGCCTCCTGGCCCGCTACCACCTCCTCCAGATCCAAGAGGCTACGGACGTGGGCACCCTCCTTTTCGACCCCTTGGTCCTCCTGGCCCAAGAGATTATCCTCCAGGCCCTCGGCTACCCCCACCTGCTTCAAGAGACTATACGCCTTCTCCCAGCAGAGACTTGCCACCGTCGGGACCTAGAGACTACCCGGCAGGGCCCCCCCAGCCCGCACCCGCGGGCCCAAAGGACTACACACAGCCTCCCGTGCAGAAACCCTGACTGCAGCCTCGGGTCAGCAGCTCAACCCAGTGGACTCTAGCGCACTTCCTGCAGTCAGGATTTTAGGAAATGGCTCTCTACGTGAAGCCATTCGTCTCATTTCAGTATATTTCAGCTTTTGCAGGATTAATTTTTATCCAATTGCTACAGACGTCTTATGTGCATTTATGATCACCTTAAACTCATCCATCCTCTTGGGCTGCAAGAACCATTTTGTGATGGGACTTGAACCTACTCTAAACGTGCAATAGAAAGGAAGTACCTGTGTGGCTAGTTTTAATTAAATGTAGCCTCTGTAACCAGTTGGTGAATGAACTAATTCCGTGAAAAATGTAAATCAAATCATTTCCTGTGGAAATAATTTTTGAGTAAAATGCTCTCCTACCTGCCTTCTCCATCACATCATTAAGCTGCAGTTATTGTAGGCCAGGGGTTTACATGAGGACTGTGAGGTGGTTTGTTTTTTTAAAAAAGATGCCTGGTCAGAGATCAGAAGCACAAATGACACTGTATTCAAAGGAAGGTTATAATAAAAAGCAAAATTCCTTTTGCTAAACCCTGAAGGCTTTGTTTCAGTGCCATTTTTTGTTCAGAAAGGACATTCGTTCAGTAATTTAGCTGGAGAATACCACAGCTGTGACCAAGTTCAAGAACCAAATCAAGGCTGAAAAACTGCTGCTGCTGTTGCAAGGTAATGATGGTGTTAGCCTTACGCTGAGCTAGCCCAGCATGCTGTGAGCCTGCTTCACGTAACTAGGACCATGGGGGAGACAGCCCTCCTCAGCTGGAGGGCAGTACCGAGCTGGAAACCTCCAGGAAGTTGTGCAGGTAGCTTGGAAATAGAGGTGAACACTCCAGAATTCTAGAAACTATGAGATTTTGTAATTGCTTTCTGCTTCTGAGACTGGCTTGCAGTGTTAAGCAAGGTTTGAGAGCTGACTTTTCATCTTAGTATTTAAGACCAATTCAACTTAGCAGTAAGGTTGTATTTTTACAGCCTTTTCTCTTACTTAAAGTAGTTTTTCCTAATGTGGAATAGGTGCATGTAAACCATATCAACCTCTCTTGCTTTAAATCTGTTTGCATACATGGAACAGCTTTACAAACACCCTCTGTTTGTAGATGTTCAAGAAAGTCCCTGAATGTGTTTAGTACAAGGGTGAGCATGTAGTATTTGGCACTGCAGCCCCTTACTTATCTACACACTAAGGTTTTTCAGAAGCACTCTGTGTAAAGGTAAGTCTGAGGGAGGGGGGAAAAAAAGGGAAAACGACTAGGAAGAATAAAAACCCCTACTGAAAGGCCATTACAGCTTTACTGCTGAATTACAAGCAGCAATTAGACTTGCCGTCTAGGTGTTACATTCTTACAGTACATGTATAAGCTTTTAGATGTAAGATGAAAGATAAGACAGAACATCACTAAAGTGTAAGACAATACAAGAGCTTCTGTTGTGAGGAGTAGTAGTCCTTTCAGTGAAAGACAGTTCACAAAAAACACAAAGGATAGAAACAACTTTAAAAATGGTATTTCACACTCTACAGACATTAATTCACAACTAGTTAAATACAAAGCTCTACTGTGTATTTAACAAAAATACTTCAAAGTTGACATGTCATATAACTGGAGTTAATACAGACAGCTACAACGTGGGGAGTCAGGGGAAGCAGCTGAAAGGGAGAGGGGGGGCTGTAGTTCAAGTGCGAGTTGTGGCTGACGACACACTGCTGGACATTCGTGTTGCTCTCAAAGGCGGGTTCTGCAGGCTCCGGCTCTCCTACCCCAGCACCAAGCTTTGCTGTGTTTAGCGTCTCCTCCCCTGCCCACCCCAGAGCTGGGTGGGGTGCGGGGACACACCTGAGGGCAGTGGCTTTCACCGGCCCTGCACGCTGCCAGCAGCCGGCACGGGAGGGTGCAGAGCCGGGACAGAGCCCCGGGATCCGCCCTGCGGTGATGCTCTATGCTGCGGCTTGCGAGGAGGTCGGGGGGCAGAGCCAGCCAGGGACCATGGGCAGTAACACGGCAACTGACCGAGCTTGGATTTAGTTGCAACCACAGACCCATGCTGTGCTTTATCCTCTTAGAGAGTCCAAAGGATGATTTTTTAATTTTTTTAAGAATGCATGTATCGTCCTTTCATCTGGTACCCTGAATGCTGCATTCAGTGGTATTTCCAGAATACCTAGGGAAATCTTCAGGGCTTGATATTCAGTGTATCAGATGTAATACCATGGGTAAAGACCTGCACACAGGAAAATTCAATTGCACTTTTTTCCCCCCCCTTCCAACCAACAGTGGAATGTGAGGAAGAGTTGCTGACTTTTGTCATAACACCTAAATAATATCATCCCTAGTTACATCAGAACAGAGGGAAGGCAAGAAGATAAGGACATTCAAAAATAGCTTTTTATCCTAATCAGTGTGGTAAAGCCAAAAATGCTGAACACCTGTCTCTAGCCAGACAAATACATTATGCTTTAATGGATGTTACTTTTTCTCATGGTAACAATGTGGGGTTACATGACAGAAAAAGGGAATTGATGATACATCTGCATCAAGACTGTTTAAAATAAACCTACTATTTGGCACTATTTTGTGAACTGGGTCTTCTGTTAGCATAGCAGAGTATTTAGGCACTAGTTAGATATGAAAGAAGTATATAAAACCTTAAAGTATTATATTAAATATCCACACAAACATAGGAAAGATTTGACTGGGTTCTACTTCTGTCCCTTTATTTGGTCAAAAGGTGAATGCAAGTGTGTCATAATAAGCCAATGTCCTGCAGCTTATTACACACCAAATCAAAAATATAGAAAATAAATGATAATCCTATCTACTTACATAAAAAGGTAATTTTTAGAGTAAGTTTCCAGACTTGCACAAAATATGCAGAAAACTGCATACAATCAGTTTCCGTAAGAACAGCAGTTTCATGTAAAAGGTGGGTCAACCTGCTAGCCAGATCTACTTTACCAAAAGCTCTGGAAAACTGACACTTGAACACTGAAGGGCCTGTCCTGCTGTCACTGACATGGTGCAACACCCACCACCACCACGATGAAGCATTGGAGAAAGCCCCTCTCCCTCCCCTGCCCACCTTTGCAAATCACTCTGTGACAAGATACAGAAAAATTATCTCTATTAGGGAGTGATGGTGATTTAAAGGGTTGTAACATGTATCCAAAACTCAGTAGGAATGAATGAGACAAGGCTGTTAAAATCATAGTTCAGTGTTCTCATCTGCAGTTGTCTTCCTCCTGGCCTGACCAAAGCAGACCAGCTGAGGAACCCTTCTGTGGCCACCCCGCTTGACCCAGCACCTGCCTCTCCCTCACTTCAAATCACTGCAGTACCTCAAGCTCCTTCCGGACCCCCACATCTTCCTCACAGTCTATTGCCACCCAGCCCGCTGCAGAGGACTCCAAAATGCAGATGAGAGGAACTACAATAGCACAGCAAGTGTAAACAGTTAGTAGGCCTGCCACATCTTTATTGCTACAGGTTCGGCAAAGGGGCAAGTCTCCAACCTTGGGTGGAGTTTGAGGCAAAAGGATAATAACGGTTAAGATAAAAGGTGATGAACAGCAAAATTAGGAAAAAGCAGTCAACGTATTTCAGGGCTCTCAGAAAAACCTGCATGTGGAAGGTACTGAAAAAAATCTTGCATGCGGGTGGTAGGCTTGCCTCTGACCCTGAAGTAGTGCTGTGCAGTGTGTGATGGTCCCGGCTGACCTACTGGCATGAATACAGTTGTGTTCCTGCCCCTTGAAGGCTAAGGCTACTACACACAGCTACCGCGACTTGTGGTTCAGTTCACAGAAGTCTCACAACTAGGGTCATTCCTTGTGCAATGTTTGATGGAGGTGAAGGTAAAGTGGTTTCTTGGTCAACAGTTGCAATTTCTTCCTTTTAAAGTCAGTGGGTTTTTTGTACCTGTAACCATAAGAAAGTAAGTTAATCCAAGGACTAAGGGCTGCGCAGGAAGATGAAAACATTCTAGAAAGCTTGTCCTGTACAGATCTTATTACTGTGATCTTTAAACACATCTGACAAGACTTACTGGAAGCAACAATAATGAGTACATTTACAGGAAGAAACTCAAACCAGTATTTTCTCTGGATTAGTATTTTTACAAAAAGATTTCAATTTTTAAATTAATGTAAGGATTGTGTAAGGAGGATTCCCAATATAATTATTCTGGAGTGTAGGAGCTGCAGTTATCAGTTAGTACTTCATAAGTATTCCAGCTCGCTCAGACTAAGCACTCTTCCTAGAGAGACCCAGAATTGCAAGGTTCACCCTCTTCCTGAAAAAAGCTCTCAAAACCCTTGCTCAGACCTTCAGCCACACTGTAAGGGTAGGATGCACATCATAACCACTGCAGCATAATGGCTTCACCTATTTCTTTGTATGCTTAGAATGGGAAAAAACACAACCACCCAACAGTGCTTTCAAGTGTTCATAAAATTCAGTTGCAAATCAGTATCCCATGTCTCAAATCAGACTCCTTTACAGAAGTATGGTACCAAAAGATTATGTAAATTGATTTTTTTTTTTAAATACAGCTGATCTGACACTCAAGCTAAGGTAAAAATTAAAATCTCCCATGCAAAATTTGTTAACTTCAGATAAAATTTTAGTTACAAACACCAGCATTTTATTTGGAAATAGTCTAGTTTTAGACAAGGTCTCTAGCCATTTTATTTGCCAAAAAGCATTTTTATCTTCCTTTTTTTATTAAAAATAGAATATTCCTTATGAATGTCAATCTAATGAAGATGCTTTCCTTGCTGCACCAAGCCACACATCGTAACTGAAGTCTAGTTCATTTTCTCTGTCATTGGCATCTATAATTGCAAGTCACTTACAGTTCTATAACAATTGCCCCAGGTTTAATTTCATCCATCTCCATGAAAGCAAAGCACTTGGTGCTAGTAAACCTTTTCTTAGGCTTGTAGTGTTTGAATTCAAAGAAAATAGCTGCACCTAGAGTGGAAAATGGTTAACAGAAAAGTTAGCAATTATGGCCCAGAGTTATCTGAAAACGTATCTGCCATTAAGATGCTCTACATGCATTGGAAGGAATTCTCTCCAACGCTTCTGTTATTTACTAAAAAGCTATACCATGTCCTCACAATGGTCACCACACTCACAACAGCTTGTACTCTTTGCTCATTTATTCGTAGCCCGGTAACAGTCCAAAGAAGGTGATAAAGCAGCTCAATACCTGTGTGATAGAGCAGACTGCTGCATTTTTCTCTTTTCATTCCTCTCTTGTCTGCAACTCATCACAATGACCGATTTGAAAGGGACAGGATGCAAAGGTCTATTTTTATCCTTGTCTGCAGCAGCAGCTCAGGCACAACCAGTTTATTAGATCAGGAGCAGCCCAGTGTCTACACTTTCAAAGCTCCTGGGCCCCGTTTCAGGTCTCTGATACTACATACCTTTTGTTAGTTTTTCAATGTGTTTCTGAATCTCAATGTCCACATTAAAATGGACATATGTATCCTCCTTCCTCAAAGCCACAGGAGTATCTTGCACAGGAGTCAGATCTATCCCATTCAAATCTGCAGGAAAGAAACAGCATGAGAATGGCTGAAGCTTCTCAGACTTTAAAGGTCCTTCTTCAAGAGATTTATGAATCACTCATACTGTCACAAAAAGTTAATGCACACCTGGATTTTTCCCCTAAATTTAAAAAAAGAGGCAATTTTGCCCCTTCACAGTCAGTGCATTTTCTTTTTGATTGCAACTCAAATGTAGGTAAAAGTTCTGACATTATTTAAGATGAAAATTTGGAATTATTCCTCTTTTTATTTTTAAAAACACATTTTTTTGTGCTACCAGCAAAGGATTCCATTCCCTCTGCAAGCAAGACTCCAGCAGAGCTTCAGCAGCTGAACTGGCAGAATGGGATACGCACCAAAGGCTGCCCTCCACACAGGTTCTGGGTGGCACAGCTGGCACATCTTATACAAGCTTTACTCTATGCCCTGCTCTGCTGCCTAGCCTCAACGTACATCATTATTCTTGTTTTTCCCACAGGCAGAGGAATGGTGGGGCCATGGGTTGCACTCCAGCTCTCAGCACCGGCCACCGATTGTGCTGCTCTGGCACAGCCAGCACGGATGATATTGTTTCTCACTAAGCCTCTGCTGTTTACACAGGTATATTTGTCCTCTTACTCTCTATCCTCTCATTAGGGACCCCTTTTCCTCAGGTGGAGCAAAGTTGCTAACAACGTGGCCAAGATTACAAGTGCAGAGCACGTGCATCGTGCCTGGGGTACAGGCTGAGGCTGGGGCCCTGGAGCACCACTGATGCTCTTCATCCAGGGAGTGGGCTGAGACCACCAATGTTGCATCAGGAACAAACCTCCCTCCAAACCTGTGGAAGAGCAGCCTGGTATAGAACCAAGAAAAACATCTATTAAGTGTCTTCAGACTCGTACCAAGGACAAAATGGCTTTTCAGAATTACTTTTCCTCACCAAAAATCTTGAGAAATAAAGTATAAAAAGACACTGTTAGCAGACTAGGTGATAGCCCACCCCCACACGCACACTTTTTGATACTATTTTCTACATCGTTACTTGGCAGTCACCATTTATAGGAGCTTGCAAATAGAGCACCACATGTTAACAGAAAGACTTGTCGGGAACGCAAACCTAGCAATATACAGTCTCTCTTAGCTCTAGAAAGGAAGTGAGAGCTAGCTCTGAAGGCAAGCAACAGTTTTAATAATACCTAATAAGTTAAGACAGACAAACAATTTGGTGGCAAGAAACAACAAATGTTTGCTTTACAAGTTCTGAGAAGTTCCAGGATCCAGTGTTAGAACCCTGTTGGGGTGGTATTTTTCTGATGGCCAAGAGAAACTCAGCATGAAAGAATTAAATTTGATTAAACCCACATCTACCCAGCTAGCCTCACCACTGAAGTCATCCATCCCTCAGCTTTCCGGCATACTAGAGGCAAAGGAAGATCCACAAGTGACTAGAGAAATGGAGCCCAAAGAGCAGTTATACAATATAAAAATAATGCTGCAAACCTAAGGCAACACCATAAACAAAGAAATACTGCATGTTTCCAAGACTGAAAACACAATGAGGCAGTTGTATCAGTGGGGGAAGGCAAAAGTCATGTTCTGGCTTCTGCCCCAACCAGGTGACTCCTCAAATATCCAGAGAGAAGTGGAAGGTTTCATCGTTGAAAAAAATCAGAGGAAGTGGGATTAGATAAAGCTTTCTATCTATACATTTTGGCAAGTAACACTTGAGAATATCACTGGGATTCAAGTCCCATTCACTACCGTGACCCTTACTTCTGCCAAAGAACTTGTCTGGTGGAGGAAGCACCTGATCACACATCTCAAGTATTTCATTCCTAGGTTTGGTATTCAATACCACATCTAAAGAGGACACATATAAGGTTGCTATCACAACTGAACATAACTAGAGGCTGTTGGCTCAGCTACAGATTTTTATATGATAAACCAAAAAAAAAAAGGTCATATCTCAAAAGATTGTAAAGATAAGCAGAAGTCAAGCAGGGCAGGTTAAGGGTAAGCAATTCTGACTTCAGGGGCTTCTTGCTAAGAAATGCAAAATGGGGAAGAGGCAGATGCTCCCACTAAAAAGTCTAAATACCAAAAATCTCAGCCTCAAGCAAAAGACATGAACGATGCTGTCATCTGAAACAGTGAGAAATCCTAATGTTGCCTATCCTGGACAGAGAGAGAGGTTCTTCCAGATTCACGGAGGCTCTCAGAGGGGGAGGCTGTTAGCCCACCAGGCTTTGGCTGAAATATTTCACTGCCAAGGCTAAAACATATTTTATATTTTACTTCACTTGCAAGCTTTGCTTCTCAGTTTCACCCATTCCTTTAAACCTTAAGTCCTAGTAAGATGATCTTTGTTGTACTAAAAAAAAATAGTTTAATAACAGGGCAAGAACGGAGACAGTAGGCTGTGGTTCACCATCTCCAGAAATCCCAGAGACCAGTACGTTGGGGAATACAAGCAGTCTGAACAGATCTGTACTTAAGAATCAGCTGAAGAAGCTGGAAAAGGGATGTACAGCCTGCCAAGTCACTGATACTCAGCTCCCAGCATGGGAAGGCATCCCAGAGTGGAGTGCACAGTCTCCTGCAGTGATTCACCTCCTAGTATCTCTAAAATACAGAGTTTTTCCACCCTTGATTAAAGCAGAAGCCTGAAGTCCACAATAGAAAATGCAAGTAACAACAAATATTTTTCCCAGCAGGCTGGAAAAAAAAATAATCAATACATCTTTCAGAAAACACGCTCTCCAAACTAGAAATGAGGATCCAGGAACAGAAATCATTACCCTTTACACTGACTGTGATGTAAGGATCAATGCACTGCCCAGCATCTTTCAGACCAATTTTCTCTATGTTGATGGTGAGTAATGTCATCCCGGGTTCAGATGGCAATCTGGGTAATAAAGTACCTGGAAAGAGTAAAGCATATTATTAACCCTTTGTGTCATCTTACAGCAGAGGCCTTGCTTATCCCATCATCTCTTACGGAAGACGCTGTTCTTATGGGGTTCAAAGCCCAAGGATTCATATCCCAATAGTACACAGCATGATGGGCAAGTCTGTGTGTACACACAACATCATTTGACAGATTTCAGAGCCCACACCAAAAAACCCCAGGACTGCCTCAAGTCAAATGAATTCTTAAAAAACTATTGCTGTAAGAACAGAGAGGAGATTTGTTTAAAGTGTTCTTTCTTGCTCTCATGAAGAGTAATTCATTCATGGAATTTACTTTTATAATTTTTAAGGATTAAATTGTGGAGGCTGGATTCAATCTGCAGTTGCAGGAAGTTCAGATACTTAATCAGGAGTTCCACCCCACTGAACATGACTTGGCTTCATGTTCAACATTTAGACCAGGAGAACAAGAAAGAAAATGGCATTGTTGCAAATCCCACTGGTCATGAAGGGAACCAAAAAAGAGATTATTAATTATTTAAATTCTACTAGCCTCTATTTCAATGAAAAGAAAAAAAAATAAAAACCAACCAAAAAACTCCCAAAACCTCCCAAGTTCCCTTCTGCCTGAAGGAAGGAGTTCCCAGCTCTGCATCAAGAACATTTAGCATCAAAACTTCGTGGTCATAGTAAATGAATCCTCACAGTGCTGAGGAAGCAGTGCAACTGGCAAGGCATCCAAACTGTTCAAACTCATTAAAAGCCATGAGATTGTCATCAACAATGGAGTAGGTTTCTTCATGCTGATTTTAGCAAAAACTGGCAGGCTTCAAGCATCTCTCCAGTATTAGATGAACAAGCACCAAGACAGAAAATGCTTTCACCCAAGATCAAGTTTGATTTAAAGTTTTGGTTTTCTAATTAAAAAAAAAAAATTATCCGAAGGCTTGAGATCTAAACAAAGTAATAGTTTCCTCTGACAAGTCCAATACAGATTTTACTTGATACTTTTTTTCCCCTCTTGATCCGCTTGAGGAGCTGGAGAACCAAGTTTTTATCTTATTAGAGAGACTGGCTTTGCAAGAGACCATGTATTCCAGATTTCATGAGCATTCCCACACCCAGTTCCTCTTTCAGTATCGTCAGCAAGACCTGAATTCACATCTGTATTTCCTGTCCTGGCTGCTAGCAGACTCATGACCTCCAAGGTACTGTGTCCACAGACCCTTCACAACATATCCCACCATTCTGAAGTAATGGGACAGGCTTCTGACTACAGTATGAGAAATGTTAAAAAGCAAACTTATTAGAGCACACCTATTTCTGCAAAGGACCATACACGCTCTAGCTAATCTTGCTGTTTCTCTTGAACAGGTGTTCAAAGACAGAGTTCCTATTTCAATCTAAATGAAGGTAGAAGTAAGCAGGTATTCTCTTTCGCACGAAACTTTGCTCTGCCGTCTTTCAGTTGTCTCCTAAAAGCAATGTCACCCCCCAAGAGCCAAGAACAACTGTATCCTTCAGTTTTCCTATCCATCACTCAAAGGGACTAAGTGATGGGACAGCTGACAGAAAAATCAGCTGAATGATGCATTAGACTGGCATTTATTATAAAGTTATTGGTTCAAGAAAAATTATTCTATTCTTGAAAAATGCTTTCCAGAATGTGTGAAACTGCAGAGTTGCAATGAACAGAAAAGTCAAGCTCACTTCCAGCAGATAAGAGAATCATAGGACAGATGGTCTCCAAGGAACACGGCTTCCTTTCTGCCTCAGGAGGAACAGCCAAGACAGCAATGGACTAATAAAGCAGCTGACTAGCCTGTCTCATGCAAGCCACAACCACCCAAGCAGGTCTTTTGCTGAAACCTCTGTAGTCATTTCAGATGGCAGCCATTAGCTGATGGTACCCTTTTCTAAAGTATAACTTTCCTAGGGCTGGACATTGCACTGCCAGGCTGCCACCACAGCCAGGGCCTGTTAGCTTTCAGCAGGCTCACACTGAGGCTTTTTACGAGAAAACTGCCAGCCATTTCAGACAACCACAGGTGCCAGACGAGGAAGGAAACATCTACAAATTAAATGTGTCCTCCTACAAATGCATTTCATATACACAAAGGTGAGCCAACCCAACAGCCCACTGCTACCAAGACACTGGCATTCATTCTCTCTGTTCTCAAACCCTAATTCAGAGAAAGGGGAAAAATTGACAAGTGTCCTCCTGGGTTCACAAACAGAAATGGTTCACAGAAGAATCCACCGACCGTACAGCACTGGAATAAAGAATTATATAACCAGAAGAAAAGCAGGAAACCTTTGCTGTTAGAGACAGCAAGCCATTGGTCAGTTCAGCTCCATACAGCACAGAAGTCTAACTACCCCATAAAATGTGTATTCCACTAAAGAAAATATAGCTACATCTACCTTTGGCTACACTGCAAGTCAGAATGTCTTTATTTAGCACAGCAGGACTTCTAGAGAGCTATGTAAGGTGCATCACCAAATATGACCTCCCCTTTTTCCGGTACTGAAGGCAAATTAAGGTACACACACAGATGCCTAGTACTATGATTGTTACCAAAGACTGAATTTTGAACGTTGAAACTAAGAGCTGAATGAAAAACATCACAACTACATGAATATGATCAAAGAAATAACTGTATATACTAAAAGGTTATCATACCTTCATTGGCTCCTGGGTTAGATGAATGGTGCAATGTGATAACGATGAAGCCATGCATGTAGAAGACAAGACCATGATCAGTTAGACAATACAGTTAGGCACTATGGATTAAAGGCATATAGAAGCAAAGAGTACAACACAGTTCTATCCATTCAATATGGAAAGTCCACTTTACTTATAAGGCTCACCCCAGAAGGCTGCAAACTGCTTTGGCTTAAGCCTCATCACCCAGTGAAGAGCAACAGATCAACCTCCAAATCAGGTAAGAACCACACTAATTAACATTCAGTGGGAACAAGATCTGTGCTCAAGCAGTGCAAAACCACCTTAGGGGTTTAGATTATTGTAGCTGTGGGAAAGTTTTCTGATTTTTTTTTGTTTGCGTTAAGGTAAAGTCAGATAAGGTAAAATATCAGTAAATTCAGGAGCTGCTCTCACCACTTCTTAAAAGCATAGTCTTACTGAGGAATAATTCTGTAAGAAAGTATATGCACCAAACCTCTCCTCTTTCTGATTTGGCTACCCCACTTCTTCGAAAATGACTTAACTGTAAACTTCATCTGTCTATCATGAACACAGATTCCTTCTCAGTCATGCACACAATTTCTATGTCCACTGTATGCATACAGCTCTAATGGGTTGCACAGAGGCAACTGTTGGCACTATGGTAATGGTCACAGACTTATTGATTCACCACCTCACCAAAAGCTACTTAAAGTCTCTCTGCTGTACTTTGGACTGACAGAATGCATCTTCATAAATGGATTAATCATAGTGAATAACAAGGATCAAAATAGTAAACTTCAGTAAAATATCACAATATATTATAGCCTATTTGTGAACTTAGCATAAACAACTATAGACTGTGTGTAGCTACATCAGTGTGGCCTGCAGGGATGATATTCAGTAGCATGCATTGTCTCAGATCTAAGGACAGAGACGTGTTTTCTCCAGGCGTAAGTAACGCAACACCCCAGCTCTTTTGACTGTAATTCCAGTACTAGTTTCCCTACTTGTTATCTCCTTCCTGAAATATGAAGTTTGCCAACCCACTCCGAAACTAGAAACTTGTTTCTTCTGCAAAGAAACTACACCAGGCACCAAAAGAACCTGTTAGAACATCCTAATCCTTTACTTAGCAAGTTGTCAAAAGCTGAAGTTACAGGAAGACCTTCTCTAGAATCTGTAGGTATATCCAGTTCTACAGTTGCTTTCACATGCACAAGGATTTAAGCTATCAAAACCAAAGCTACCCCTCTTTATCTTCCCAGAGCTTGGCTTTAGCCTAAGCCATTGTCTCACCAGACTATGCAACACAAAAATAATCAGCAACAGCTTATTACGTCTCTAGCACAATGTTGTAGAAGACACATTGCCACAATTTACATTTGAATGCATTTGAAACACTTCACACAGAATGGTTAAGAAAATGCAGGAATGAAAATACTAAGTTTGAACAAGGAATAAAGGCTAATTATTTGAGGGAGATGGTACCACCCTCACAGATTATCTATACAACTGTTTTGCAGTAAGATACTGTTTGCTGAGAAAAAACGTCCACTGGCCACCTTCGTGGTTCTCCAATATGGCATTAGAGTTTCCATTAGTCTGTTGCTCCTCACCCAAACTTTTCAAATCACAGCTGGAAAAGGGGGCTTCTCAGAGACAGAACTTACACATGGTGCTTAGGCTGGCATGAGAAGGCTAGTGCCCCTACCTGGAACTCTAGCAGGAAAAGAGTCTGGAGACCCTGCTCCAGCTCCTCCTTCCTCATCATCCTCCTCAAACTCTAAGTGTTCCTCTTCTCCAGGTGCTAAAATCTTCCTGTAAAACAGAGAAAGAAGAATGAGACCAAAAAATCATTCATCATCTGGGTTTCAACTACAATTCAGCATCTAAGTATAGAGCAGGAGCAAGATCCTTTAAAGTAATTTCATACTTGTTATGAACAACTACCTGTACCTACAGACTCTAACAGAGATTGCAGGAGCTCAGCCCAACCAAAAGCATAGAGTCTAAAACCAAGAGATAATACTGGCAATTTCAGAGAGATGTAGGGATGTATGAAGTCCTGACTTTACCAAAACCATGGACTTGATTTTTAGTGGTACCTAGACAAACAGAATTCAAAATACTCTTACTAACCAGGTTACCCAAAGCAGTACAGCAAGTAGGTGGCTCTAGAAATTCTAATGTTACAGATGTACACCAGGTTCCAGGCTATGCTCCCTTTCAGATACACAACTGTACACGAAGTGACCCAGTTCTCTCTTACCTGAGTGGGACAGGCTGAACATCAAAGGGGAACTCCTTATTGTAAGTGAGGATATTCTTTAAGACTGCAAAGAGGGGGGGGAAAAAAGAATCTGTATCCATAAACAAGCATTAATTCTACTGCTTTACACAGCTATGTCCATTCTCACAGCATCTTCACACACACACAAATAATAGTAGTTAAAAAATAATCAGATCATACAAAAAAAACCCCACCCCACACTTCTCTCATATCTTAAACACCAGTACAGTCCTGATCAGAGCTATATCGCTATAACATTCATACAGGCTAACTGCAACTCCATACATAATCACCACCACACTTACACAGACAGGGAAGATACATGCAGTAATAACCAAAAGCACAATGAGAGAAAGCCACAGGCTCCACAGGCTCTTTGGTGGCTATTGAAAGGAGGGTGGTACCGTTACGGGCATCAGCTACAAACAGACCAAAGTCTCCAGAACTGACACACTTAAGCACACACGTAGGCTGCACATTCAGACAAACACAGTGGGAGTCCAAGCATGCTCGTAACACATAGTTGAGATTTCTTACTTCTTCATGCATGTGTTTTGGGGTTTTTATTTTGGTGGTGTTGGGGTTTTATTTGTTTTTCTACCCGCAGATGTCTGGGCAGATTGGCAATATTCAGAAGAGACACGGTACAACATCTGAGCATCAAGCCCTAGAGACACTGACTATACTCTCCAGCACGCAGTGGAGAATGGCTTTGCCATTTATATTAGAAGCTTACTCAAGTTTTAGTAATTACAACTTTAGCTGTTATTTCCAAAAGCATTTACCAGTAAAAGCAAAACTTCCAAAAGCATGTGAAAGAAATAAGCATTTCGTGATGGCTAAAGGGCCTAAAAACTAACATGTGAACACCTGCAGGGAGAAGCACTCTCCCACCAGACAGTGAGTATCCCAGATTTGGTAGGGGGAGAGTAGGTAGAAAAACCGAGTCCTCTCACTGAGCCCCACTTTGCAATAAGCCCTCTCAGAGCACTAGAAATCCCCTATACGACTACTGAATGAGAAGTGTTTTAAAACAATGTTAAGATGACACAAATACCCAGAGGTACTTAAGTACCAGTTATGTTTAAGGAATCACTGCCACGCCCCTCTGTACACTTCAATTCAGCCAGTGTAGGGAAGCTTCCCTGTCTGTCTTCATATTCACATCACTCAGCATGAGCTCCACCATTAGCTTACCAGGCACCACATGAATGCTACAATTAATAAAGAATCCCTCAGGGAAACTATAAAGAACCCAAATAATCTTTCCAGCCTTTGCTCATTCTGATTTTTTTTTTTTTTCTGATTTCTATACCACCACCTGAGACATTAGATACTGTCTGACTCCAGCTGGACACAATACAGATACATAAAAAGCTTTAATTTGCCTTCAGTCAGAGATGTGACAGACAAAACTGGTGCCAAGTCTCTCTCTCTCTCCAAAGACTTCTGCTTGGAGGGATCAGTAAATGCAGATCTCACCATGGTGGCAAAGAATCACAGCCACTTCCCAACAGAAAAGCAGCTGAGGTTCAGGAAAAGAAGGGGATTTTTATCACACTCAGAATTCCCCAGCTCTTCAAGAGCTACGTCATACCAGAGACAGAAAGTGAAACTGCCCCATGCATAAAAATCTCAGTAAAGCACGATCTCTTACAGTCATAGACACGTTATACAGAAGCAATAGAAATTACAGCAGTTCTCCTCCCATCTGCCAAAGGTTGGTAATCACTAGATTCCCCTCTTCCCAGAAACCAGTTTCTCTGACTACATGACTGAACATCTCCTGAAAAAAACCTTCTAGTAATAGATCTCAGTCGTCACTAGAGGGCACAAAATACGCCACTGATACAGCACAGGAAAAAGGGAAACCGTTTTACAGCGCCTAAAATCTCGATGCTGCCTGGAGGCAGAGCTGAGCATACACCCTCCTGCAGCCACGCACAGGGGTGTTGGTACCAAAGCTGCCCACGGGAGCACGCTGCTTTCAGGGGTCCTGGCGGTGTTGGTAACGAGGGTGACGCTAAATGGCTAGCTCAGAAACACTTCTGGAAACATGACCCAGAACCTCCTGCCTTTTGCAGCTGAAAGCCGTGGATCAAGTTTTTAAAAAAGCCTTCAACTCTGTCTCATCACCAATAGCAAGTAATTTTGCAAAGTTGTAATATGGCAATTTACTAAACTGCTCCTTTAAACATCAGGAGAAGAAGTGGATGTAGAGCATTCAGCCTGGTGAAATACTTAAAAGTCACTAAGAAAAAAGCAAAGCAGTAAACCAGCAATGCAACAATCATCCTCTGAGGAAGAGGAAAATCCTCTTTACATCTATCACAAGTGTGAGTTTCTGTTCATTTAAATAAAAATAACCACATCACAGAAAAAAACGTTAGGTTACGAAGAACAGGAATCTCCCTTGCAATATTAAGTCACCCAAGCTTTAAGAGGTTGGTTTGGTCTTTTGTGGGTTTTGTTTTTAAAAACACACATTGCCTCTGGGGGAAAGAGCACTTCCCCTCTGTAATACCACTGCTGAGAACAGGACTCGCAGAAAGTTCTCCATGCGTATAACTAATAGGCAGATCTCAGCATCATGGCCTCCATTTATGTGGCTTTTCCAATAGAAATCTTAAAAATACCATTCTGCAGGATCTCGTGCAGAAACTGCCTTTTCTTTTGTGACAGTGGACAATATCACATTGATTTTATCAGCAGTTGGCTCTCTCTCAAGATTTCAAAAGAAATTATAAACATGAGCTGTAAGACCAGTACACACTTGGTAAAGACCTCTGTTCATTTTAATTCTTAGTGACAGCCTATGATACCTGTATTTTAAATAGACAAAACAAAATAATTCCGACACCAAGCTCCCCAGTACACACCAGTATCTACTTCTCTTATAATACATATACACTGAGTTTGAAATTAGTTGCTTAGTGGCTAGAATTATCACACACACAGGCACACAAGATGTCCTAGCCTATCCATTTATAATGTGTATTATAACACCAGTGTAAGTTTTCACAAGAAAAGGATTTGTGAGATCCACTGTGTTAGCAATGATTTCACACAGTGTAGTCTCAAAAGAACTATTTGTATGTATGGACCCTCCTGTAGCATTATTCTAGCACAAAAGATTCGGTGACAAATCCTATAAACAAACAAAAGTAGCCAACTGCTCCACTTTCCAAGCAGCGTGAAATGCAAGCTTAAGTAGGAAAAGTTAGAACTTGACAACACAAGATATATCTTTTAAAAAAATGTTAAATCTAAGGGCCCTGGTTGTTATAACAACAGAGTTCTCTGCCACTTTGACAGCTTCAGGCACAAAAGTAATTAAAACAAGCCAAATTGTGTGAATAGCTGTTTTCATTCCACCCTAACAAAATGGCTTGACTTAACAAAGGAATCACTTGTTTGCATTGCCAGCCCAGATTTTTTTAGCTTTTTCTGGTAGAATGCAAGAGAAAATTAACAACACACAAATTAAAACACTTCACGGTATATTTTATGAAATGGCTGTGGTGTTGGCCTGATTAATATTTACTCTATTCAAGATATACTTAAAAACCACAAAACAAAGGCACAATTCAGAGAGAAAGAGGCCAGAACAATTCAAGTCAGACAGCAGCATTAAGAACATCAATGTTTAATTGTTGTTGTAGAAGCACCCGGTCTCCTCCAAGGAAAATAACTCAGTGTCTTTGAAAACTGATGGCCACACACTCTTCCCCAGTTTTAATATAGTTGCTTGTCGTAGGAGGCGTGGGCTGAATACACTTCACGCTGTTGAACAGGTTTTTTGACAGCTAAAAATCAATTGTCTGACAGAGGGCAAGATAAGCCACAGGACTGCTGCACCGTAATTGAAATTTTGGCTTTTAAAGAAAGGAGTTGCAGCTGAGGGAACTGGGGTTGTTCAGTCTGGAGAAGAGTAGGCTGAGGGGAGACCTCATCGCCCTCTACAGCTACCTGAAAGGAGGTTGCAGAGAGCTGGGGATGAGTCTCTTTAACCAAGTAACAAGTGATAGGACAAGAGGGAATGGCCTCAAGTTGTGCCAGGGAATGTTTAGACCGGATATTAGGAAGCATTTCTTTCCAGAAGGGGTTGTTAGGTGTTGGAATGGGCTGCCCAGGGTGGTGGAGTCCCCATCCCTGGAGGTGTTTAAAAGTCAGGTCGACATAGCACTGAGGGATATGGTGTAGTTGGGAATGGTCAGCGTTAGGTTAATGGTTGGACTGGATGATCTTCAAGGTCTTTTCCAATCTAGATGATTCGGTGGCTCTGTGATTCTGAGGTATTTCAAAGGAAGCCTTAGGTCTGTTGGCAGAATGTAAATTCTGACTAAACCCTTCAACAGTCACTTTTGATTTGTAGAACAGTTTGATCCATTAAAATACGATTTCTCTCCCTTCCATCATTCAGTCACTCATAGAGCATTTGTACAATGGAGTCTAAAATCCAGTCATTAAGAGATTACATTTAAAATACGTTGTAAAGTAGGAGTATCTATACAAAATAATCCCAAATCAGAGGATGCAGAGGCCAGACATGCAACATAGAAATTGAGAGAGACCTAATACTTCCAGCGCATAGTTAAACCCTTTACTGAGTTATGGTTTTCACAAACCTAGCAGTCTTGTAACGCACCTTCACTTTCCATTTTTAGGGAACAGTTTAAAAGTATTTGGACTATATTTTGGTAGAGACATTAGGAAGCTCAGTTCAGTGCCCTGCTTCTTGACAAGCTTCCCTGTCAAGAAGCAGGATCCTGTGCTGGTTACTTAGAGAATGGGAGTGCAGAGAAGCTCAACTTATTAATGAAGTGGAAACTCTTGCCTGCCCATTATTTATCCCCAACACCCCCCTTAATAATACATTTGTGACAGAAGCAAAATAAAATCAGCTTTTACCAGCATGAAAGAAGCTCTTCCACATCCCCTGTTCCCAAAGAACTGTAGAAACATTAGCATTTAGGATAGTATTATGAGCTCTGATCTTAAGGATGCTTTGAGAACAAAGTGGCCAGCATTATGGGAAGGAAAATGTAGCAGACAAATAGATACCTCCCACATGAAAAAGCTATTTCTGGACTGACATAGCAAAACCTGACCTGGGATCAGTTGGAAAAAAACACCACCACACAAAACCCTTCAAAGACTGACTCACATCCTCAATTTGACTCTTAACTTCATTAGTCTGGTAGCATTACAGTGGTAGGTGACAGGTGATTTGTTACCATGAGCACAAGTTAAATATTTTTAGAAGAAAAAAATAAATTTCGTTCTGCAAGGAGGAAGACCTCAAAGTGTTAAAATTCTGTTCAAATAAGAAATGTGCAGGTAAATTTTCCATCTGATTATATACTGTACCACTGACAGCTCAAATTACTATTTTGTGCAAAAATTAACAGCACCCAGAAAATTACTTATTTGAGAATAAAGATGAATACATTATCTGAAACATGAGGACTACTATACTATATCCACAATACACTCCTTAACACACATCAGGTTTTTTTCTACATGGTAACAGATTTTTGGAAGAACCACCTAAATCCAGCTTTACTGTCAAACCACATTGTGGTCAGTCAGTATTCACGCTGCTGTCATATTTTCCACTGTAACGATAAACATCACTCACTTAAAATACAAAGATACTACTTACTTGGTTCCAACTTCTTCAGATCCTCAAGCTTAAATTCATCCTGTGATTGAGCAGACTAGGACATTACAAAGAGAGAGTTAGATCTCAGTATGCACCTTCCCCTCAGACCTACCATATCTTAGAATAAGCATGCAAAGTACTTCATTCAAGCATGTCAGGTTACTCCAGAGCTATAATCTAAAAAACCCAGACAAAATCTCCATAAACGAGGCTAGGTGCACAGGGAAAATGGAAAGTACATTACTTCTCATTTATTGAGAACAAACCTATCCCATGGTCCAAGCTCTAATGCAAGATAAATATTTTTAAAGCAACTAGCTGTTCTTCCATACAGGAAGACTACATACTACACACAGGAGCATTAAGACAGAGGAACTTGTTTTAATTCTGCCCCAATCAAGTTGTTCTGAAGCAAGATCAGTGGTAAGACTGCACTGCAAAGTAATGGTCCAACAGGAGCATTCACAGTTCAAGACACACGTCCAACATTGCACCACTGTCAGAAATTACAGTATAGAAGATGAGTTTGACAAAACACTCAGCTAAGAGCCCACTGCAAATGGAAGAGAGATTCCCATCTCTTTCCAACTTTGATGATGCAGTTTCCTTACCTATGTGTAGCACATGCCTGCCCCTCAGTAAGCCTATTTGACTTACTAACTCAATGGAAGAGTTTCTCATGTTTTATATCTGAGGTGGTTCACCAACAGTTTGGTAAGCTGAACTAGCCTATTCTGAGACATAAGTGGCAGAGCTGGCATAAGAAAAGTGGAGCAATAAGAGGACTGGCACTGGACATTCTCTTTTAGGCAGAAGATCAGGTCTTCCTCATTGTGCCATTGCACCCTTCGCATCTCTTAAAGAAATATTGAAAACAGTGGGTAATCTTGAGGCCTGACATTTGTTTTTTCTTGATTTTGCCTAAGTGTCAACAGGGACCTTCTGCAAGACTACAGAAGGACAGTAAAGCAGCTACACCCATACTGTTAGAAGAATAGGAAAAGATGACCACACTCACTAACTGCTTTAATCTCTGCTAAGAAACCATAACAGAACTGCAGCAAGCAAAACACGCCCCAAAGTGAAGTGGATGAGAAGTTCTAGTACCCTCACACAAAGTTATAAAATCCTTGAGTTACTGCCAAGGAATGAACAAGGAAGGCTGTTCTTGCAAGGCATCATCTCTTCAGTTTGGCAAGTTATAACGTTGCTGCATCTTCTGCTGTTGCTCTGAGATGTGACCTGACCCGTGAAGCTGTCCCACAGTGGAACACACCTGCCCTCATCACAAAGTCACTGATAACAAGTCCAACACTGTTCAAACACCCCAGGTTAGATAAGAATTGGAAGATGGGTAGAGTTAATCAAATAATTATTCAAACACTGTACAACCTCGAAACTGGTCAGCTCCCTTATTAGTCCAGCTCCAGCATGTTGCCTAAATTGTCACTGTATCCCAGCCTCTCAGACAATTGAAGGTGCTGCACCTTGTACAGCAACGTGAAGTACTCAGGAACACTGCTGTGTGTATCCTGATGCAAAATTTGCCTGTCATCACTCTTTGTTGGAAAAGAGGTAATCCAGTAACCCAAACCTTGCTTCAATTGATTCATCCTTCCCGCATCCACACTCTTCTCAATTTCTCTCATTTCCCTTTTTGTTTTGGGGATTGTGCTGAGAGAAAAAGAAATTCCATTTCCATCTACTTTCAGTCCAGAAAGGAGCCCAAAGAGTAGCTTCTGAATCATTATTTTCACACATTTGCCTACAGCACTGACAGTTTTCATGACTGCTGTATTTTTTTTTTCTACACACACATTTTTCCTCTTGCTCTGTTACAATTTGTGAAGCCACAGCACTAGTGCAAGGGTCACTCCAGGGATCTTTTTACTCTTGCACACAGGTTAGGAAGACAAACCAATCAGTTCTGAAGGAGGAAACCGAGAAAAAGAACAAAAGATGTAAAATCTGCAGTTAAACTCCTGTGCAAACCCTAATACATGCTAATACAAGTAAGCACTTAAAGGTTTTTAAGGCAGCCACCTGGGGCGTTCATGTTGACAACCTGGAGAGTCCAAGTGTTCAAGGGTTTGTTCACTCTGTTTTCAGAGGTTTTGGCAATGTCTGAAGACACTAATCTAGCTTTAAAGAGCTCTACAGTTACCTATTGCTAAAGTATGAAGTCGCATAGGAAACAGAGCTATACCTGTAAAGCTGCACTTCTCAGTTCCAAGCATGTTGCAATTTTAGCTATAGTTTTCTGAAATGAAAAAAAAAAAACTTCATTTAGTACTGAAATTGTATTCTTCCACATGCACATTTTAAAAAAAATATAAATATGAACAACTGCTTTTTCTTGTGAAGATTTCAGATTTATTATCCAGTACCAGATCATTCAGCATCAAAAGCTTTTTTATACACAAGCAAGAGTTTTTTGAAAGCACAATAGATGAAACAGACATCTGCCACTTAGCTCCCCACCCACAACTCATCAACACAGATGGAGGTCATTCACTCAACAGAAACTGTAATAATGCCTACCACGTCATAAATTGTTTATAAACGCAACTGCTCTGAAATGATAGGGAAGATAAAAAAAAACAACCCAAACCAACCAGTGTATTACCTTCTGAGAATCTCAGTGGTTTGTTCTAATTTGCCCTTTTAGGAGTCATGCCTACAGTTCCTCTATTGGGCTTCTCAGCAGATCAAGTCAAGCCTCCTCAGAAGTTACAGAAGCCTAGTATCTCAGCACTGAAAAAAATACAGTCCGCTTTTGTGGGTTTTGGTAGGAGAGGAAGTATAAAGGTGGATTATTTTTCTAACTTTCTATTTTTGTAATGTTAAGATACTTAAACTCTGAGTAAAGCACGAAATATATTCTTTGATTCAAACTTGTAAGCTATCTAAAATATCCATGAGCAGAACTGTGAAGTAATTTCTCATTTTCATTTAAAAATGTAAAAGAGAAGGAAGGGCTTCAAAATAGCCCACTGCTAGCAGTCTTACTTTGAAGACAATTCTACTTAAGCTTTTATGTCTCAAAATCAGAAGCTCCAGCGAGTCACATTTGTTTCTATTACTACCAGCTGAAAGGAGGAGTTAAGACTCCCATAACCGACATCAAATGGACACAGCTGCACAGTATATGTTACCTTGCCTGACCATCATAAGTTTGTTCATTAACTAAAAGGTTTTAGTGAAGAAAAACTAGGACTATCTACAGAGATAAGGGCCAAACAGAATTCAAAATGCTCCATGGAACATTTATAGTGCAAGAAAAACAAGAACAGTGAAGCTACAAAGAAAAGCAGTTTATTTTCAAAGTTCCCCCACCCTCCCAGAAGGAAGATTAAACTTGAAATATGCACCTGTATCTCATTTTCTCCTCTTGAATCAGACAGTATAAAAACAGCTCCCCCCATGCTGGATTCAAGGGAAGGAAAAGATTTCCTAGAGCACAACTCAAGCAAAACTTCAAGAGTATGGGCACCTGGCAAGTAACACAGTATCAGTCAAAAGCTCAAACTTCCCTTTAAAGGAGGGTTGCATATTAGGGTTCCAAGAGGTTTGTAGCAACAGATAAAAACTAGGCCATGCTTTCACAGCTACCTTCCCCAGTCACCTGCCCTGACTCTCCTACAAAGGGGTGTCACATCTCCTTCTCAGTCAGCTCCTGGACCACCACTACTTTCAATAGGCTGGGCTAAAAGTTAAGTGGCTCCAGTTCACCTTAGGCCACCCTGAAAGTTAAAAGAATTCAGGAGCTGAATCATAAGCAGATCATACCTCAAGGGCAGAGCTAACAGCTAGAGTGTGTAAAAGCCTCAGCTACCTGATTTTCAAGTGCCACCACAGGCTCATCAAAGCTTTCAAAGCCATTTCTCACCAACCGGTATCTCTTTTCATCTTACTCTGTTACAACATGGCATGATTTACATCCTCAGAGTTTACATTGCTACCCATCGTATGGAGGTCTTACCAAAAAATGTAGTTCTTTCAAGCACCTTCTAAGAAAGTAGCAAGTGATGTATATTAGCACAGGACACATACTGTTTTCTCCTCTGCCTAGGATGCACACGTGCAGCACCGTGCTGTTTGGGCATTTTTATATAGAGCAACACGACCATATGCTTGCACGCAACATGGCAGAGTAAAAATATGACAGCTCTGTTTCTGTGGAGGTTCATTCTGTAGTGTAGCTGGATCTCTAACAGAGCTTGGAAAAACACAGATTTTTGCAAAAGAAAGGAGTACATACAGTCCTGGATTGATTTTGACATTTTCAGACCCACACTCCACACACGGGTGTTGTGGATTTACATGTACCTTCAGACTGGATGGGAGAACACCAGGTAGTACTACAGAAGCAGATTCTCATTCCCTAGGATGAGAATGCATTACATTCATCTAATCTTAGCTGCAGTGTAACAAAAGGAATTCCTTTTATATTTGAGAACATCTGGAAAGATAAATTTGCAAAGGCAGAATGCTAAAGAGGAAGGTGTGAAGTAATGGGCAAAAGAAAGAAATCCAGAATCCTTCCTAGGGAAGGGAGGGGAAACCTCTGAGGTTTGCCTACAGCTCTAACATTTGCAAAAACTCAGCTGTTCCAATGGTTTTAGTGTCAGCTGCTAAGCAAAGAGCATGCCCATTCCACATCAGATCAACACCCCCCATGACTGCAGCACAGAAAGAGGGCTACCAGCTCGCAGGGTGCCAGCGCACAGTCTCCGTGCCCCACCATGGAATTAGAACATGTCAACAGATTTTCACATGGCTCTTCTCCTCCCAGTCTCATATGCAAAGCATTAAGCCCACACTGTAAATGAGGTCTCACGAAGCACTGCTCAACCCCTGTCTCCTTTGTCAATTCAGTGGTAAGCTTGGCAACACCCCTGTTCCCTATCCTGCAGATTCAGAACTGTGTATTCTTAAAACTGCCTGAATTAGGCACTTCCTAACAGAACCAAAGGTGATACAAAATGTGTGTCCTCTGGCTCCTGGGGGCAGAAGGGCAATAATGGCTCTAGAAACACATTAAATGAAGAGAGTTTGAGAGTCTTAAAATAGTAAAGAATAGGTTTTATATGGAATCTATTGAAATATGGCAAGCTCCCAGCAGGCATTATTCATAACTATTTTTTTAAGGGACCACACCCAACCCAAAAGTTAAAAATGCAGCTAAACACTGCTATCATTTTCAGCTGCAACTGTCCCGTGCAAAGGCTCCTTTTCGCAGCAGGGAAAACAGTCTGCATCTCATTAGAAAGACTGAAGCCATAATTAACTTCGCTAGTTTAAAATAGTTAAGATTCAGTTTTATGTAAACTCGTGATTAGAAAGGGAAAGTCAGTTGATCTTGTAGTCAAGGTTTCTTCAGTGCAGTTGTGTGAGTAATGACTGTGCTAACTGTAATGCAGTCAAAGATGTTTGCATAAATACAGAGCCAGAGCAGAGTTTGGCTTTAAAGAGAGCTCTAGGCTGTTAGAAGACCAGTAGTTTAATGAATCATGCTAAGACTTCAACGGTGCTCTTATTTCAGCAATTTACCATTGCATAAAAATCCGCTTGATTTTCTAATACTGAAGAAAACTCAGCCTAGCACAAAACCAGTTATATGAGAAGCAACAACTATGACTAGAAGAGGGCTTTAAAGGTCAAATTTACTGCATAAAGAACTGGGCAAGAATAACTATAGCTGGATGCAAGGTGACAACCATGGCCAAACCTAACTGGAACAACTCATGTAATAAGACACATGAATGAAGATGGGTATTTTTACAGAATGAAGGTAAAAAGAACAGCAGGATGCAGATGTTAAGACTGAGGTAAATCCACCAGTAACTGTATCTGTTAATATTCCATACACACAGCTTCTAGGCGATGAAATTGTTGCACAGCCTCTTAAAGCTGTTGCAGGGTGGCAAGATTTGTTTACAGTATTTATCTGCAGAGAAATTCTTCAATAGCATTCACAATCACTAATGAAGATTCCAGCACTGTTGATTATCCAAGTCAAGACAGAGCCTTACCCAAGGACTATAACTCCAGAATTATGTCCAGCAGTAGATATAAAATGACAACCCCGCAGAAGATAAAAATCCTGGAACAAACAGCAAATTCTGGAGACTAGTCTGCTCTATCAAGGGAAGTAGCATACAGTGTTTCAAAGCAGACTCTTCAGATCAAGAGCAAAAAGGCAAGATATGAATATTTAAAAGTCTGAATTCTTACCATAAACAATGCATTTATTATAAGACAAATGATAACTGGCTCACAGTATGCCTAGGAAATAAATTGGTGGTATCTGTCAAGTGTTGTTAGATTAACAGATTGTATGATTACATTAGCGAGTAAAACACCATCAGTTATGGTGTGGCCATATTCGCACTGTAACACCACCTGTGATGCACAAAATAAACCCAAACATGGTAAAAGTTTATACAGACAGATGGGGCTGAGGATTTGAACCTAGCCTTGTCCTCTCCCTGTAGCTATAAAGCTAGTAGTTTTCCCCTGGTACAGAGGAATCACTGCTGAAATATATCTTCCTCACAGAGTATGTAAAGTAAGAAACAATGACAGCCTCGCAAGTAATTTTCAGCAGTATGTATAGTCCTTTGGAAAACAGCTAACTGTAAATCTACACAAAAAGACAGGAATAAGGGTAGATCAAGCAACTGGAAATCATAACTAGCTTCACAGCTTTGCCTTCTCCAATCTATGAAATTCTGTGCACAGCCTTAGCCAGGAATATCAGATAAGCAAACGCTGAAGTTTACACTCCTCTACATTCAGAAAAATGAAGAGTGGCTTTTATATGACATACAGAACCTCTGAAAGACAAGATATCAGAGAAAGAGACTTTCTGGAACCAAGAGGAAATAGCATGCTGGTGGACAGACACATCGGCAGGAACTTACTTAGTTGAGCAAATGCAGCTATTTTGGTATGTAGATTTTCTGATGGGTGGCAAGAGAGAAGATATAATTCTATTTAACCAAACTGCCTGAAAACCCAGAAGCATGCCAAACTCTACTCCAACATGCCAAGTGAATGATACTACCAATGATAGTAATTGGTCATGATCACTAGATTATACTGGCTCTGCTCCTGCAGAAATTGGAGAGACCACAACAGCAAGGAGCTTAACAACAGAGTAAAAGCTTTTGCTGTAGAGAGTTTTGAGTGCTTTTTTTCAAAACAATAGCAGGACTCTTATTTTTGTTGTGACTAGCATTCCTCATGGCAAAGAAGTGAAAGAGAATGTTCTCTCAACCAAATGTTGGGGAATTCGGTGGCATATGTGGCTAATGAAATGGTCACCACAATTTGATAACCAGGCTCAAAGTTTCAGTGCATTGGCCCCTTACTAATCTGCAAAACAGAGCAAGTAATATAAATGTCAGCCTCTTTTGTAAGTTATACCAGCTTTAGAAAGATATCACTCTGAAGGACTTAAAACAGCGACTCATTTTTTCTTTTCAGAAGATCGTTGCCTTGAGACATGATTGCAGTTGCACATCTAACATCTGAGGTCAGTTATCTCTGCTTCCTGAGCCCCCCAGGCCTTCCCTCATGGCTGACCTCACTCACTTCCACAATCTGGTCCAAGGTCCTTTCCACAGCTTCAGGGAACATCTGGAAGCAAAGCCCTGTGTGGTTCTGGCTCCCATACTCACAGGAGATGATGCCTCCAGAAGTGAGATTAACAGCTTTGCCGTCATGAAGTAACCATATTTTCAAAAGTATTCACAGAGGGGAAACAGGCAGTAAGGATGACTATAGCTGAGAAGGATGAAGAAAGCTACCAGCAAGGGATAGAGAGCAGAAGCAATCAAAGACTAAACAGCTGTCCAACATTAACAAGGCTCCCAAGCCCTCAGTTCAGTAAAGGTGGACCAAATCCTTCTCCAAGATTACAACTCAGTTTAAGACAATCACAAGCCATATCTTCTTTGCAGAAGGTAAACAGAACATGGAAGATCATCCTTTTGCTTTTCTCATTGGTACACATCAAGGAAACATTTACAAACTGTCAGTCTCTACATAAAGGTGTGTTTAAAGAAACTCATTATAAAGAAATACATCTCCAATTTATGTAGCCGGGACCTGTTTTCAGGACCAACATTTCCGAATACAGATGCATGACACTAGCACCCTGTTACCATAGGTGAGACTCTGGGCTAGCAAATGTCAATTTTCAGGCAACGTCATTGCTCAAACAAGTGATCTTATGACTTGGAAATCTGTAAATACAGGGAGGTTCTCTAATTTGGTGTTCCTAAGAAAAACATGCCTTTATACAATACACAAAAATTCAGCAGACCTCATACCTCAAAAGATTTTACTTTGCTGAAAATGCTTGAGTGTATGAGACCTCAGCTAGTATTTTCCTCTTAAATTCTGTAACAGAATTGCATTAATATGATGCTGAGACAAGAAGGAGACATTTCAACCGAGGGGAGGGAGGAAGAAGTAAAGTCATTTCAGTATTTTGAAAGATTTTAAACAAATAACATTCTAAGAAACTACCAGGGAGTATTCTGCCAAGCTCCTTCCCAGTGAGGTGCTACATGTTAAGCTAACATCCTCCTCACACACTCTCGATGTTGGCAGTTTAAGACATTTTGTATTCAGACTTCACAACATAAATTGTGCTAACGTTGTATAAGCAAGTTATCAAAAGGTCACCCAAAAAAAGAAACATTCAGGTGATGAAGGACTCTGGCCAGCATGCATGACATTCAATATTACACAGCAGAGCATCTGTTACATCTAATGACAGCAATTGTTTTAGCCATGCTGGGCCCTGTTTCTGTTTGCGTATATTGAGTGAGGAAAAAAGGTCTCATAAGGCTCTGGTCTGGAAGATTAAAAAACACATAATACACATTAACATCTACGAGTCAAGCTCCTTGACTGAGCAAACAGCAACACTCACCTTTTGATCTTCTGTGAATTCCGAGTTGTTGTGCTGAGACTGCGCCTCTTTTTGTAGATGCCTTGCTAATCTGGATGGGGGAAAGAAAATTGTAGAGTGGGAACGCAACACAAACACACATATCAGTCTCCAGAAAACATGTCAGCCAAAAAGTCCACAGACTGCTGCTCCAAGCAGATTTTGTTTTTTTGTAACAAAGATTTCTATAGCCATGGTAGGCCATATTTAAAAAAAAAAACACCAAAAACAACCAGAAGATGGACAAAGTATGCAATTACATCAGGCAGGAAAGACTACATATATAATGTATCATGATGGGAGGACAGGTAAGAAGGTCCTTCTAGCCAACAGCCCCTTTTATAAGCACTGACTTTTTTTCTCACCCCATCCCCTTATTTTATTACAACAAACCATACCCCTGTGAAGGCCCACTGTGGCACAAGCCCATATGCATTTCACAGGGAGAGTCTGAGACAAGTTGGCGTGCCAGGAGGTGTGGGCACAGGCACCCGAGGCGATGGCCTCACACTCTCCTGGTGCTGGGAGCCAGGCACAAGGGCGGCTTGGCCCAGGCTGCCGGGGTGTATCAGCTCACATTTGGCCTGTTAGCATCACATGAGGAGCAGAGACCCCACCCCTTGTCACCACGGAGACAGGAGTACCAAGGGGTTTGGAAAGTAACAGTAAGCAAACAGCTCGAGAAAGCGAAAGGAAGCTAGAGAGGGAAGCTATGGGAAGAGTTACAGTTTCCGTCCAGGGAGGAAGGAGAACATTAAACAAGCAAAACCTCTGGGCAATTGTTGCCATTCCCTGTAAATAATTTGACTTTTAAAAGCAGAGGGGGAGGGGGGGACAGCAGCAGCACTCAGGGCATCACAATACTCTTCCGTCTGGAACCACATAAGTTTGAGGAATTCAGCGTTTCACCACCACTGCAGTGGGGATTAGCCTGGTTTTCGTGTGTGTGTGTGTGTGTGTGTGTGTGTGTGTGTTAAAATACATACACCAAGATGCATACACCAGAACAGATTACTGTCAATGCCTGTGTCAGAAACAAAAATCAGAACTCAATTCTTTATTTGCTTTTCCTAAAAATAAGCTTTATTAAAAGACACAAGGACTGAGGCCACTGTAGTTTTCAACTACTACCAGCAAAAACACAACCAAACAGGAAAAGGGAACTGCCCAACTCAGTGGTGTTGTCCCTTTTCATAAAGGGGCAAAGATGGTGGCAGAGAAAAGACAAAAAGCACAAACACACTTGAAACCAAATGTACACTCCTTCCCTACCACCCTGTTGATATATAGAAAGGGCATTTAAAAGTAACAATTAAAGAAAACAGATCACCATAGCAGCGGTATGCCACCCACAACAGGCAGCATGACAATGTAACATTTCTGCAAACATCACAACCCTCTTTCCATTTGTCACTAATGCAAACACACACCCACCCCACCCCCCAATCCAAATAAATGCATCTGGCATCCCACTTGCGGCTTGCTCAAAGCTGTATCAGACCAAGTTCTGCAGACAGGGACATCCAAGAGAGATGGCACTGCCAACAGCTCAGAGGACTCCTGCGTGAGTAAGCACCTGAATGAACAAGGGCCAATCTTTGCACCAACCCTCCCACACTTCCAGGAGTAACATAAAGACCTGAGCAGACATAGGTCCCTCTGGACACAGGAAGCAAATAATTGCATTTTACATCAGTAGCCACTAAATCCACGGACTGAAGTAGCTTATATTTGTGAAAATCTGTCTCAGTGTCGGCAAACTCACCGTAACCAGCTTTTCCCCAGCCTCCCTGTGTTGGTCAATACAGAGCTTGCCAACGTCAGCAGCACCTGGCCAACTGCAGCAACACACTTGTTCATCCCATCTCAGGCTGCCATTTAAGAGGGCAAAAGCACAAAGCCATCCTGTATGTCTCTCCAGAGCTACAGGTGGGTATGTACTTCTTATTCACAACTTCTACTTTATAAATTGAAAGTGTTATTAATTTACCTGCTGTATCTACAAGAAGCAGATATGCACACCAGAAAGTTTCTCCTCCTCCCTAGGAAACACTTTCATGTAATCCTTTCATCTTCTCTCCCTTTTCTTCTCCCTCCTGGAACCACAGAGTTCATCTACTGATGACTACTCACTGGTAAGACTTGTAAGAGCAGCTTACAATACTACTCCCCAAGAGGACCTTTCTTACAAAGATATCACATTGCTCCAAAGTCAGATGAATGTAAGGGGCTGGAAGTCACCTCAGTTCTCATCAGACACAAGTGATGCTGGGAGGAAGGGAACAAAAGTTATACTTCAACTCTCAAATTGGACTGTCTGCAAAAGTTTATTGACCTTACTTCTCAATGAAGCGAGCTCAGAATGAAAAGCCTGAAGACTTTACATTCTGAAGAAATAGTTACGTGAAACTGACTGCTGAGACTGCCAAGACAGTTTAAAGCGTTAAGATTCTACTGGTCGCCTCGTAGATGTCCACATAAGGACAGTTATTAAAAATATCTTCTTTTACTTTCAGATGATTTTTTTTTCTTCCAAGACACAGATCTGGAAGAAAACTTCTTTTCACGCCTGTGCCAAGGTTTGTAGTAACAGCTTACCCTGCTCTGAAGACCATCAACAAACTGCAAATAACGAAACTTGCATCATCCTGTCTGGTGAGTGAATAAAATGATGAGATTATAGTATCTCATGACTATGCTGTATGTGGCCAGCAGTCTAGTTACTCCGAATGGCAACTGAACTGGTAGGTGATGCAGTTACAGCTCATAACTTGAATAGTCCCGAACAGTGTTACAAGATCTCTCGGAGAGCATCTCTTCATCCGAGTTTCTCTTGGGAAACAAGTGCAAACTCTCAGGACTTCTTCCAGAAAATTCACCATAAGAAACTTAGCCTGCAATACTCTGATCACAAGGAAGTAACTCTCATCTTCATGGTGACCAGAGCAGCAGAGGAGAGCATTTGACTAAAGCTGCCAGGTGTGTTTCTAAGGCTGCCATCAGCAGTGCCCACAGTGCCAACAGTCCTCCGATATCAAAGGATTCACGGGTGGTACGGTCCCACCCAGCACAAGCCAGTCTTACTGGGGCTGCCAGGTTCCCCACTCTCCCACCCGGGTTTCATCAGGGGTGAAACACACAAGCACGCGACTGACCAGTTTTCACCCCGATGAGTTGTCTGGGGTTTTTGTTGAGGTAAGTCTGATGCTTCGGCAGCCCCTTTGCCTCAGCCGGGTCCCCCCTTTCCCACAAACATGGTGCCCAGGGGACAGAGGGACAAGATGGGGGTACCCCGGCCCACCGGTGCCTCAACGGCCCACGCCTGGGGGGCCCTGCGGCTCCACGGCAGCCGGCTGCCACCCTCGCCAGAGGACACACATTTTGTATCACCTTTGGTTCTGTTAGGAAGTGCCTAATTCAGGCAGTTTGGTTAAATAGAATTATATCTTCTCTCTTGCCACCCATCAGAAAATCTACATACCAAAATAGCTGCATTTGCTCAACTAAGTAAGTTCCTGCCGATGTGTCTGTCCACCAGCATGCTATTTCCTCTTGGTTCCAGAAAGTCTCTTTCTCTGATATCTTGTCTTTCAGAGGTTCTGTATGTCATATAAAAGCCACTCTTCATTTTTCTGAATGTAGAGGAGTGTAAACTTCAGCGTTTGCTTATCTGATATTCCTGGCTAAGGCTGTGCACAGAATTTCATAGATTGGAGAAGGCAAAGCTGTGAAGCTAGTTATGATTTCCAGTTGCTTGATCTACCCTTATTCCTGTCTTTTTGTGTAGATTTACAGTTAGCTGTTTTCCAAAGGACTATACATACTGCTGAAAATTACTTGCGAGGCTGTCATTGTTTCTTACTTTACATACTCTGTGAGGAAGATATATTTCAGCAGTGATTCCTCTGTACCAGGGGAAAACTACTAGCTTTATAGCTACAGGGAGAGGACAAGGCTAGGTTCAAATCCTCAGCCCCATCTGTCTGTATAAACTTTTACCATGTTTGGGTTTATTTTGTGCATCACAGGTGGTGTTACAGTGCGAATATGGCCACACCATAACTGATGGTGTTTTACTCGCTAATGTAATCATACAATCTGTTAATCTAACAACACTTGACAGATACCACCAATTTATTTCCTAGGCATACTGTGAGCCAGTTATCATTTGTCTTATAATAAATGCATTGTTTATGGTAAGAATTCAGACTTTTAAATATTCATATCTTGCCTTTTTGCTCTTGATCTGAAGAGTCTGCTTTGAAACACTGTATGCTACTTC